TGCTTACGTGGTGTCCAAGGAGGTCACAAGTGGGCATCGGGCCACCTGGAGCTGGAGTTGTGGATAGTCATGAGTCACCGTGTGGGTTCTGGACATTGGATCTTGGGCCTCTGAAAGAGCAACAGGTGCTTTTAAGCACTGAGCCATGTCTCTCTAGAACCTTCCTCACTCCTGTGACAGGACCGCCTCTCTGTCTCCTGCTTCTTTGACGCCAGGCACTAAGTTCTTTAGCCGCTCCTTGAAATTCAACCACCCAATGAAAATCACTTTACCCAGTGGTCAGAAAGACAAGTCAGCGTCAAAAAGAGCATGCGACGTCATCCAAGGCTGGCGGTCATGCTGGGAGAAGTGTGCACATCTACCTACCGAGAGCCAATCACTGGAGAGTGGTATAATTGGTTAATCATATAAATTACAATCACTTAATCATTTTAAGCACCATCAGCCAATTAGCTCAGGCTTATGAGTTCTGAGGTAACAGTTATGCAAATGTTTGCCCCACGACAGGCTATTAAACGCTGTATTTTCTCTATCCAGATGACAGAGACTGATGGGCGGGGGGCGGAGAGGAAAGCGAGCATTTGTTTACTTGAAACTTTGTTCCTGTTGGGTTATAATGAAGCGTTCAGTGGGAGAAGCACCAAGCGTGATCGTTTTTTTCATCTGCCTCAATGTGAGGAGCTCAGAGAGGTCCCAAGAGGAACCCACCATGGAAGCTAAGAAACAACTGAGTCATGACCACAAAATCTGAGTCAGAGTGGCTGGCTTTGCTGAGTGCCCGGGTGTACTCAGCTGTGTTACAGGTAAGGAAATCAAGGACCAGGATGGAGATGCGACCTTTGCTGGTGCTTGCCAGGGCAGCTGAGTGCTAGGACGGCAGGAAGAATGGATGAGCAATAACTCTATCACAGCATTGAAGACCTTGGAGCTGCTCTGGAAAGCGCCGGTGCCTCAGCACCAGAGGACCAGAAACTCTGACGATCACGTGCACACTGACGACCGGAGAGATGGGTTCTGGGTGCTCCGACTCTCCAGTGCCCAGTGTAGGGCCCGGCATGGGAGACCGTTCAGCCAACACGTGAATGAACGGATGACTCATGGCTAAATGAGCGTCTGAGAACCAGGATAGAGGAGTTCTAACTGTTTTTGTGCAGGTGGGCTCTCAAAGCACACGTGTGCAAGCATGCACCAGACAGCGGTCCCTGAAGCGCAGCCTTCCCCTTGCCGCGTTTCCCAGGGCTCGGACGGTCATAGAGCTTCCTGATGAACGCTCAGCGGCATTGGCTGCCTCACTCACTAGTGCTGACTGTAGTGTCGGCAAATGCTGTGATGGTGAGGAGCAAGCAGGGTCTCAAAGACAGAGCTGACGTTGTCAGCAATGTGCAGGAAGGGACGCGGTTTGGCGGTTCTCAGTCACTCTGTTACTATGGCACCTTAGCATTTCTTCAAGGTATGCCCTAACGCTTCCCGGACTTCATCTGCTTCGGCTGGTTAGTCAAATGCCCAGCTGAGGTTGAAAAATCACCCCTTCATTTCCCAAACAGAAGCCTAAGAATGTCGCAGAATTTTGTTCATTCATTTAAGAGAACACACGGGCTTTTGAATGTGCCAGAGGTCAAGTACAGAACTAGGCCCCCAGCATGGAACTGCATAGTACGGCAGAATGCGGAGAGGAGGAGGGGACTGTTGCAGGCTGGCAGTCGGGGCGACTTCCTGATGGAAGAGGAGGTTGGTCTAAGGAGGAAATGGGCAGACAAAGAGAAGGGAGGGGATTCGAAGGGGAAAATTGATTAGGCACTGTAACGTCTTAATAAGCTGCATTGTTAGTATATTTTTTATACGTAAAGGATTTGTTTTTTACAGCTTGGTAGTTTTAATTGCCTAGAGGAAGCAATTGGCCCTGTGCTCTCTTTTGTGCTCCATATGGCCCAGAGGTGCCTTGCCCACAGGCAGGAGGCAGAAAAGTGTCCGCCCTCCCTGTGGGACCTGAGCCAATGGTACTGCTTGTCCCTCTTGCCATCCTAACACTTCCTCGAACAGGGAAAATGATATCGATCTAGTCTGCTAGTGTTGCGAAGAAAACTGTAATTTCAAAGGGAAGAAGAAAAAAAATCCATGGGACCAGCGCGGAGAACGCGGGACTGCCGGGAAGCCTGACATGAGTGAGCTGAGACACAGAGAACAATGGGCGGAAACAGAGAACCACCTGACCAGCTCTTAAAGATTTTCTTCCTTCTGCCTTTACAATACTCTGCTATTGACTTTAGATTTCTTCGCCCTTGCACTTAATTAGTCAAAAGCCAGCCTACTCTCTGAACTTAGTTCACAGGCCAGACGCCAAGCAGAGTCCGTGTTCCTAAGGCAAGAGCTGCGGACCAGTTTAGTTGCCCTCCCTAGGTGGAAGGTGTTTGTCTCTGGGGATCCTCCTTCCTTCATCTGATTTCCTGGGGCCTTGCTTCCTGAGGAATATTGGGGGACTTTTTTGAGGTCATTTAGTGTCAGAACAGCGAGGTCAAAATTGGCCCTGACCTCAGCTGCCCCTGTGCGAGGCAGTCACGTGCTGACTGATGTTCTCCTTCCTCCCTTCAGGGTCCAGAATGACGTAGAAACTTGGCCTGGCTTCTTTAAGTCTGTTTTGATTTATATAACATAGAGTATTCTGTGTTCAGTCTGAGTTTCCCTAGAAGTAGGTCTGTTGGAAAAGGTTCAACTAGGAATAATTTCCTCACTCGGGTGGAGCAGGGTACACCAGCAGGGGAGAGGGATATGGGCAGGGAAGACAGCCAGAGAAGGTGTGAGTCACCAGCTGCCACAGCACCACCAAGGCGAAGTCTGGAACCTGGTACAGGATGTGGGTCTGCACTCGTTTTGCTAAAAGGCATTGGCTCCTCTCTCTCTCAAGCCCATGAGTAACTAAAGGATGAAAGCCTGTGTCTCTGCTTTCATTTTGTTTACCACCTTTACCTGGGCTCAAATGCCTGCTGGATTCTGTGTAGGCATCTAAGTCAGCCATTCAAGGAGTGTCCACCTGGCATCTCATCCCGTCAGGGTTGGAGGTACAAGGCTGTACTTTTCGCAACAGGGTTGGAAGATGCCCCCTTGCTCTACGCCTGGAGTCACCTTGGGTGGCAGGAACAGCAGAGCCTCATAGACCACCCCTGGAATGGCAGTCCTCTGCTCCCGAGAACCAGCTTGTTTCTTTAAGGACTTCTTTGGACCGCCCTGCAGAGCCAGAGAACTGGAGCTGACCCCACGGTCAACAAAAATAACACCTTGCTCAAGATTTTGTGATTATGCAGACCTCTTGCCTCTGGCTCACTTCTTTCATTTAAACCCAAAACTCATGTCAGAGCCCAAAGACAAACTTGGGGTCACTGCATCCCCTTTATTCCTCTTCTTAACATGCTGATTAAATCTCCTCTTTCTTCTTTTCACTAAATTTGTCTCTGAATAGACATTGGGATGGTGGTCAAGCCTTCCCTTTTGGAGCTGCTGTACTCAGGGCCTTAAAACTCTGACATGTTGACCCCTAATTAATCCACCAGAGGGCTGAGTGCATTGGGGCATTTAGACAGTCCCCCATTGCCCCACAAAGCCCTTGGGATTACCTAGATGGGCATTGCAGTTAGAAGTCACCAGTGGTCTTAGGAGCACACTGAAATAGTGGTCTGGGAGCTGTGAGAGGGGAAGAGCAGCGTCTACAGTTTCTATGAAAGTATTTGTAACTTCTTACTTGAGGGTGCCAGTTGGGAAGTACTTCCGGGTAGCACTTTGACTGGGAGCCTGCCTCTTCTAGCAGCTGTAGAGGGGCAGAGCTGCTTGAAAATGGCCCACAATTGCACAGCGATTATAATCCAGGATTTTTATAACCTGATCACAAAGGTATCCCAGAGGTCAGAGGAGGGCAAAGAACAGTCCTGTGCTCTTCCTCGAGATTGTTCACCAGGTTAGACCCTCCCTAGGCCCTTACCAGGGAGGCATGCTTGGGGCTTTCAGTCCTCTTGCTGAAGGTGGATGTAGACTTGTGGGTGTGTCACTGTCTTGGCTAATGAAGCCTGAGAAGAAGTTGGAAGTGGAAAATGGGCAATTGGGAGTCTAGAACTGGCTTCTCTCTTCATGGGTAAAGTACCCGTATGGGGACAGCCTTCCTTTTGCTACAAATCCTAGAGTCTGCTCTGAGCTCCTTCATCCACTTCTTCACCGAGGGGTTAGTCATCAAAAGCCTGTCCCTGGGCCCGATTTGTCAACTCAGAATGACCGCTCACTTCTTGTCCTTTCAGCTTAAGACACTTCAGGCTGCATTTCTCCTCTCGGCTTATTTTATGTCTTAATTATACGTGTGCATTTTTCAGACAGTATGTGCACGTGACTGCAGGTGCCTACAGAAGCTAGAAGAAGGCGTCAGTACCGCAATTACAGGTGGTCTGAGCGGCCCAATGTGGGTGCTGGGATCTGAATTCAGATTCTCTGCAAAAATTGTATGCAATCTGCTGAGCCATCTCTCCAGCCTCCGGTTGGGTTTCTTGAAGCTGCCCAGACAAATCATAAATGCTGTGATGTCAGCTAACCTGGCTGACTGGCGACATGAGCCACCCCTCTAGATCAAAACAACCGAGGGGAGGGCTTCGTGAGTAGAGTGAGTCTTGCTGGGAGGCGGTTCCCAGATGTATGCTGAACTGCCTTGTCATCCAGCGCTGCTACAACGTAACATCACAGGCAGATAGTTAAACACACAATGTGTCTTTTCACAGGCCTGAAGTGCTAGCAGGGTTGATCTCTGGTGAGACCTACTTCCATGACCTCCCGTGTCCCTGAGTGGCCTTCCCAGTGTGCACACACTCCTGGCCAAGAGCACTTCCGCGTAAGTGCGGCAGCTGCCTCAAGAGACAGCACTCGTGTCACTAATGAGAACGGAGACAGCGGTAAGATCCACTACCATCCTTTAATATTATACAATGAAAGGCAGAATGCGACTTTCCCAAATCATCACTGTATGGAGTTTCAAAACCATGTGTGGGCACATGATCTAATCAGAGCAAAAGAGACACCTAGACGTTTTAATGTAGGAGTCTGAAAAGTTCATTGATAAACTCTGTCCTGCTTTCCTTTCCGTTGCCGTGATTACACCTTGACCGACAGCCACTTGGAGAAGTTTCACACTCCATCACTGAGGGAAGTCAGGGCAGGAGCTCGTCAGAAACAGAGGCAGAAGTTATGGAGGGATGCTGCTTCTGGCTTGCTCACCGGCTTATTATGCTTAGCTAACATTTTTGTACAGCTCAGACCCGTCTGCCTAAGGATGATAACACCCACAGTGGGCTGGGCCCTCCCACATCAATTAGCAATCACAAACGTGTCAAAGGTCAGTCTGATCAATTAAGGGGTCCTCTTCCCAGGTGACTCCAGCTGTGTCACATTGACAATAAACACTAAGCAGTGCAATAAACGATAAATTGTCACAGATTTCACATCGAAACCAACATTTTAAAATGGCTACTTTTCAATTTTGGTGTATTAATCAAGGAAGACTATCTATAATTATCTTGAAATAAACTAGATTATCTTTATATACTTCAACCAAAACGAATTATTTCAATAGCTTAAATGAATGTAGAAGGTAGGAAAATTGAGCTGACTTGGGTTTATTCTGACATCAGAGACTTATAAAAAAATAAAAATTAATGCATTTCTCAACTGTTTGTTGTAGAAACTAGCAATTTTCTGTAAAATATTTGTTTGATGTGAAATGATACCTTCTTCAATTTTAAGATATAATGTAACAAATATTAAAGTCACCTGTAAACCTGCTGAAGAGGGAAGACTGCCATGTGTTGGAGGCCAGTCTCTGCAATATAAGCCAGTACTGGCCAGAAAGATCCTGTGATCTACAGAAAATTTTGAGAATTCTCAGTAAATTTTAAGCAAGTAAAAAACAAAAAAAGCTTGAGATAAAAATGTTTGAGAATTACTATCAGAAAGTCATCAAAACCATCTGAGTAGATAGGCATAGGTGCCTGTGCCAGGGCTCTGCGAACACCAGACACCCCGCTAGCTTTTTAGGGAGAGAAGGGATGCACTTAAGGCTGTGAGGTGGCTCCGAAGCCCGCCATCTTCCATAGCATCTTGTGAAAAGTGGTCCCTTCCTCTGTCTGTGCAGTATTCAGAGCCTCATTGGGGGTGCCTCGCATGTATGGGTGGAGAGGGCACACCTGAAGCTCATAGCTGCAACTTGGGTGAGATGAAAAATGGAAACATGATAGATAGATAGATAGATAGATAGATAGATAGATAGATAGATAGATAGATAGATAGATACCTTGGGAGATGGGGCTCGGGGTTTCCACTCGGGTGCTGGACAGCAGGGGCCACAGACTGCCCTCCAGGCTCCTGACTGATCATTCGAGATGCTGGCGGGTCTTAGACCTTAAGAACCCCAGGAATTTTGTTAAAGTGCAGACAGATGCTGCCTCAGCAGGTCTGGGAGGGACGAGAGCCTGCATTTCTAATGAGCTTCTGAGTGGGCAGAAACTGCAGGCCTGAAGCCCACAGCCGAGCAAAGCTGATTGTAGCGTGGCAACCGGGAAGATGCTGTGGGAAGATGACAGAGGTCAACGAAACACCTCATAGCCTGATTCTCTTACCATGTAGAAACAGCTCTGGTCCTCTCCTCACCAGAAGTGACTGGGGCCCAAACTGCCTACCTCCTGCTGCCGGTGACCTGTGACAGGCAGGACTACTTACAGTTCTGCTGAGGTGAGGGGGAGATTTGATGATGATGGATGTGGTCAGGATGCTGAGAGGAGGCGGGGCGTTGACACACCTTGACCATCTTGCAGTCTTGGGGCCCTTTCTTTCTCCCTCCCAAAGACAATGGAACACATTTTTATTGCCACATCCAGTTGAGATATTTCATAAATCTGTAGGGTAAACCATGTAAAATTAAAGTTTTCCACTAAAAACTGTTCATGAGGGATGTGAAACTTAACAAAATGCAGGGGCTTTTTTTTTTTCTTTATCACAATCGTGCTTCCTCAGCAACTAACAACTTTAAAATGATCTGTCAGGCTTTGCATAATTGCATCTCAGTCTCAATGACAGCAAATCATTGCAGAAACACTTAGACAGCGCTGGCAGAAGGACACAGAACATGAAGGGTTAAACTTCTTTTCTATGAGGCTAAAGACTCCACACTAGCAACTGGAGGTGGGCGGGGATGAACTCTTAATTCGGAGCCACCAAAGGAACATTTATCAGGCTCCACCTGGGGTGGTTCCTGCCCACCAACAGCTTATACTTTTTTGAAGACTAAAAAGTCAAACAACAGATACAGAACTTACCAGTGTATTTCCAGGGAATCATCCAGATAATCATGCGATCATTGCCGATTGGCTATGACAAAGGTCATTGCGTGTAGTCATGTTAAGTACAAAATTTCAAATTCTCTTGTTTTAATGTAGTCATGGGATCAAATGCAGGGCCTTGTGCACACTAGTTAAGTGTTCTACCATTGAATTATACCCGAGTACATTCATCAAGTCTTTCTTAACATTTGATGCATTCCATCCACCAAAATGAATTCATCTGTGTGTGTGTGTGTGTGTGTGTGTGTGTGTGTGTGTGTGTGTGTGTGTGTGTGTATGTTGTGTGGGTACATGTGGCCATGTGTATCTCCTGAGATCAGAGGACATTGTGTGTCCTGTTCTGTCACTCTCTGCCGAACACTCCTGAGACAGGATTTCTTAGTAAACCTGGAGCTAGGCTATGAGTCAGCAAACATCAGCGATCCCCTTTTCTCTGCCTCCATGACACTGGTATTATGCACATGTGCATGACCATATTTGGCTTTATACACAGGCACCAGAGATTTGAACTCTAGTCCTCATGCTTAAGCAGGAAGTGCTCTTCTCTGTTAAGGCATCTTCCTAGATCCACCATTAATTGCTATTCTTTAGAACCATTCTCCAAGCTTTGAAACTCAGATGTAGTTGCTCATGATAACTCTATACCAACATCCCACTCTCATTAAGCACCACCGGTACCTGTGATCTCTTCAACTAGTGTGACAACTCAGAACACATAGAGACACAGACTCAGAAGCCTGGCTAGGTTCACGTGACCTTGAACAAATCACCTAGTCACAGTTTCTCCATCTGAAAAAAAAGATGATAACGATTTCAGTCCATGAGGCTGCGGCATGGAATGAACACTTCAGTTCTGAAGGCAGAGCCCTTGGAGCAGCTGCTAGAGCCAAGTGCTGGTGTTCGCCCTGGTGACAGTTCTGCTCAGCATTCTCATGGCTCATCCTTGGCCTCCTGACCAACAACCAGACTGAGCTCAGCCTTGCTTCCCTTCACGATGCACAGCCCTCAAGGCCCCAGGAGCTGGTCTTCTCCACTCCCACTGCCAGGATGTCAAGTGTTATTAGAGACAGACACACCTCCTTGATGTGTCGGGCAGGCTTCCATATCCCCTGTTCCTAGTACACGGAGATGAGCTGTCAATGCCCAGGAGTCCTTTTCTTCTAGTTGCTGCTGGTCACATAGAAATGGGCACCTGGTCCAACTCTAGTCCTCAGTCTCTCTCCTAGGAATCTGACTCATGCAGTGGAGGACTTGAATTGAGCCTTGTTAGAGGGAGACCTTTAGATATAGGCTTCCTGTCCTCCTGATAGAAGCCCTTGAGCACTTGCCTGCCTCTCTGTCTTCTTCTGTCTTCTGTTGAGATGTCCCATGCCTTTCCATCAAGTTCTTCCTTTCTAATAGGCTGGCTGGACACAACCAAAGGAACCACACTAGAAGTGACCAAAAGTGGCCACAATGAAGTCTTCCATCAAGCATTTCACTGCAGATGGTCCACCACTGTAACTGGGCACCCTCACTACACATTGGAAACACCCTAGGAGCCTAGTACACAGACACCTGGGTCTTCATGTGTGTTGATAAGTAGAACAGTCTGGGTTAAGGACTGAAACTGGTTAGAACAATGCTGTTCTACCCAAGTTCCTTCAAACTTCCTGCCTCACTTTATTTTAACCCTTTTATTCCTTCCATACAGGCCTCGAGATGATGTGTACCTGCCATTCGGCAAGGCTCAGGCCCCCACTGGTGTAGGAAGCCCGTCTCAATCCTATCGTTAATGACCTCTCTCCTCCCTCCTACAACCTGGACTCATTGTCTGCCTCCCCCCCCCCACTGTTCATCCAACCACACACTTTAGAGGGCCAGTCTGCAGCCTAAAGATTCCCTCACATATTAGGAGGCACCAATGATGATGATATTAACCTCCAGAGTATCACGTGACCCAATTACTGCAACTAAGAGTTTTTAATGAGTGAAACACATACAACATGAGTAGCACACATATACATGAATGTCTACTACAGGCTGGACCCTGTCTTAGGTTCATCTGGAGCTTCTCTGAGTCTCACAATCCCTTTATGCCATAGGATCTATACTGCCACTGTATAGATGAAGGAGCCAAGCAACAGCGAAGAAGAACTGGCCTGATGACATATTGCCAGGGAGTGATAGAGCTGGGACTCGGCGAGGGTCACACTAACCATGTTGCTACAGGGCACTAGAGTGTGCTTAAGAGGTATGCAAGTGTGTTCTCCCTTAAGTAGCTCGTTTTACACGTGCTGACTCTGAGTTTGATTTTTTAAAAATGTCAATGTGATCAAAAATTCATGTTAAAACAGTTGTTTCCTCTTAGCTTACAACCACTGGCTTCTGTAGTAATAGCCTTTTTTTTTTTTTTTTAATGACAGAGAGACTGTGGGAAGGCAATTGACAACATTTTATAGCCTGTGGGAAGGTCAGTGGCTGTCTAATCTAACCACGTCATATGCTAATATTGATTAAATTCAATGCTCAGTTATTTTTCAGCAAATGAAAAAACAACCTACTCATATCAACCTAAGGGGGACCTTTTGTGGCCTACTGTGGGTAGAGCAGACACTGTCTAATGCAGTTACCCTCTTCAATTATGTTTTGCTTTCTTTAATAAATTACAAGTTACAGTAATGCTCCTAAGAGTCCTGTTTGCTACCCCAGTCTGCATGGGCAGACAGCCTCATCACCAGGGACGCAAAGCCACTGTGGGGATGCCCCATCACAGTATTATAACCGCCAAGGCTACCAAAAGAAACTGACTACTGCTCAATTAGGCAGAAACGAGACTGTCATTCACAGGGTAGGGGCTCAGGGTTGTCTTATCTAGTTCTCAGTGGTAAGCTGGCATGGGAAGTTATTTTACAGTTGCAGTTACAAAGGGAAATGAAGTCTGCGTTTGCAATGCTACCAGGTACTCTTCCTCCACCAGAACCTAGATGACTGGCCCCCTAGAGCACACACACTGTTTAACTGAGGCAACATCTTAAGAACCGGAGAGGTAGCTATCTTCCCCCTTATTCCCAGGTAAACCTTTTGGCAAATGGTACAAACTACTTTTATTAAGTCAACGACATCCTTTTAAGCAAAGGCTCATATTCCTGATCTAGACTTTCTATTCTAAAAATTAGATTTAGTGGAATAGGATGCACATGTTACCATCAACTGATCTGTTCCATTGACAAGTATCTGAGTCACTGTTCTGTGGCTGTGAAGAGACACCATGACCAAGGCCACTCTTATAAGAGAAAGCATTTCATTGGGGTCTTGCTTGCTGTTTCAGAGGGTTAGTCCACTATAGTCATGGCGTGGAGCTGGGCGGTACTCATGGTGCCGCAACGGTAGTTGACAGTTACGCCCTGATCCGAAGGGTAAGAGAGTGAACCGGGCTTAGCATGGGCTTTTGAAACCTCAAAGCCCACCGCCAGGAACATACTTCCTCCTACAAGGTCACACCTACTCCAACAAGGCCACACATCCTAATCATTCTCAAATATTGCCACTTCCTGATGACTTAGAGTTCACAGGAGCCTATAGGGGCCATTCTTCTTCAAAGCACCACAAGTGTCACCCCATGACAAGTTCCAGGTCCCAAGCTGGTAAGGGGAGAGCAGGCCATCCCCCAAGTTCTGACTGTGGTCTAGGGACTATTGAGAGAGTTGACACAGAAAACCAGAGATGATTCTAGGACCGCTAGGGCTACACAGTGAAACCCTGCCCCCCGCGCCCCCCCCCAAAAAAAAAACAACAACGAAAGGAAGGAAGGAAGGAAGGAAGGAAGAAATAGAAAACCAGAGAGGAACCATGGATTCTTGGAAAGTTGGCTAGGACTGGACAGTCCCTTCTTTGATGATGGCAGAGGGACACAAGAGCTAAAGACATAAGAAGAGTATTCCCGCCACACAGTCACCTTGATGTAGGGTCAGAGGAAGAAGCAGATCCCTGAGGCAATCTTTCCTGGAAATCCTTAATGCTAGGCAGAATAAATATAACCGTCACGACTTTCTCCTCAGCTGTACCACAGTGAGCTAGCTCTGTGACACCCAGCCTCTTTCTCAGGAAGAGCATTGACTCTAGACAGGTGGCTGGGGGCATTTGCTTTTGAAATGGCCACCATTGCCTTATCTATGCTAGCTAGGACGCCAGGTCCATATCAACACATACCACGTGCCAGGCACTGCCCTGATCAGCAAGCTTACAAATGGGATTCCCAGCCTCTCCACATAAACCGAAAGAGTGGGATCTTTTCATGCCCTCCACCTAAGACATTTCCTCTAAAGCTCAGACATGGTAATGGAGTTAACCAATGGCCCTCCAGCTCCCACATGTTTCAGACTCTCTGCGTCTCTGGTGGCCCTCATAGGAAAGCACTTGCAGAGAGTTGGGTTGGCATGCTGAGAGCTAACCTTCTGACCCTTACCATAAACAAATAGTAAAGTTGTCTTTGGCTGGTCAATATAAAACTCCCCTTTGCTGCTCTAAAAACCATTTGGAACTGATCCAACTTACATATCTGTGGGCTGTTTAAG